TCCCCCCCCCCCCCCCGCATAGTATTCAATTGCTTGTTTAAAATGTATATAATGCCTTTTGTCTGGCAAAAAAAAATTTCCCTGGAACCTAACCCCCCCATTTACATTAATTCTTATGGGGAAATTGGATTCGCTTAACATCGTTTCACTTAAAGTCGCATTTTTCAGGAACATAACTACAACGTTAAGTGAGGAGTTACTGTATTAGGCTGAATTATTATTGTTATTTTCATTATGGTAGTGCCTAGAGACCTCAACCGGGATCAGGGCCTCATTGTGCTAGGTTCTGTACAGATACACAGTAAGCAAACAATAAATAAGTAGAGCGAAGTAAGTAAGAAAAGAGATACAAGTTCTTGCCCCCCCAAGCAGGAGAGAGAAAGAGTAAGAGGAGAAACAGAGTTACAGACAGGTGGAGTGACTTGCCCAATGTCACACAGTAGGTCAGTGGCAGAGCTAGGAATAGACCTCCTGAGTGAGTCCCAGTTCAGATGAGTTCCCTACCCGCTGGATCACATTGCTTCTAAACTCCTTTTGTCCTTGTTCATGCAAAACTCCAACTGATGTCATCATCTTAGGTGCAATACGTAGCCATAGTTACTAATTATGACACCATATTCTATCATCATTTCCTCATTTTCTGACCTGAGAATGCATACTAGTTACATGTTTTAGTATTGTAGCTGTTTTTGCATAAAGTACAGAGTTCCTTTTTATGAATACAGTATTCTGAATGTACTTGACAGGATAACAACGGTTAATTAATATAATATGTAGCATGCAGTACGGCTAATCAGGACCATCTTCCTTTAAAGAGAAATGAAATAGAGGATCATTCACTAGAGAATTGGGTTTTATTTCTTATTACATTTTTTCCTTTATCTCATGAGCTGTTTTTCACACTGCATTAAATTCTACAGAACACTCCTAAAACCTATCAACACCCTCTTCAGCAGGATTTTGTTTGAGTGATTTGCTGCAATAAAAATTAGATTTCTTTGCAAATGATAGCCAAACAGGCTTTAGTTTTGCATGTTAGAAGTGCACTAGTGGAAAACAGATCTACTTTCTAGTAAAGGAGAAAACTGAATAATTGCCATACTTTAGTGAAATAATATCCATGAAGTCACTTTGAGATTACAACACATAATAAGTACAGACCAATTGAAAAATAAAAACACAAATCCATTTTTGTTTTCTCACCGAGTATGTTAGTAGCACATTACGTTCTAAATACTTTTATATTAAAACAGTTATAATTATTTATCATGCCCTTAATCATTGCTTTACCAAAGATCTTTGTCATTATCCAAGATATGCTTATACAACCAGGTTTATTCAGATGCAGCCCTATGTTAAATGGACATAATCAATTTAAAAACCACACTTCTCTGTTAATGTATTTGTTTTTAGCTATTGCTGTTACAAGCAACAAATGGAGTAGAGAGAAAAATTGCCATTTGTTTGTTTGTTGATTTTGTATATTTGACAATACTTTGAGTATACTCAGTTTTACTGTATCCCCTGCTTAGGCACTTTATCTTTAAGAAAGGGAGT